ATCTAGTTTGGGGAGGTGTGCCAACAATTTGTGCCACTCATTGTAGGTTGGTTCATAATTTCCATAGTTTGTTTTGGATTTACAGCTGTATTAGTTAGTTTGGAAATTTAGGATTGACCTATAACAGAGGAAGATTAATTTTTTTATGTGAATTAAACTAATTGTAGTAACTGTATCTGTATATGATTTCTGGTGATTTGCTGTGCCAGTGAACTGGCTGATCACAATTAATGAAACCTACTTCTTTTAATTATATATTATTGGTTTCAGATTATGTGGTGGTTGGAAGTGATTCTGGAAGGATAGTTATCCTTGAATACATACCTTCAAAGAATACTTTTGAGAAGGTAACTAATTAAAAGCAAGATAACAGTATACTCATCCAAAAGTGTATCTCCTGATAAATTTGTGTATTTCCTCAGTTCACACGGTACATTTTTCTGCCATTTTCTTTGTTTCAGGTTCATCAGGAAACATTTGGTAAAAGTGGTTGTCGCCGTATTGTTCCAGGCCAGTACTTAGCTGTTGACCCCAAAGGTCGTGCTATTTTGATTGGTATGTTCGATTCGATTTTCAGTAAAGAAGTACACAAACGTATAAAAAAAACCAGAAAGACCAACAAAGACAAGTAGAAACACTCAATCAATGTATTTCACTTGCATGTACATGTATATAAAAGTAGCTTTTTACATTACGTTTATGATCACCATGAAAAAACTGATGATTTTTTTCTCAGTTAACAGAAAGGTGAATGTATGGTTTCATGGATTGTTTATTGCTCTCAGTGAGGATTCATGTCACATGTATACAAATGCATTAACCCCTTAACTCCCATGAGTGACCAGATAACTGATGAGAATAAAGAAAAATATCAATTTGGGGATAATAAGTCAATCCAATACTAAATTCTTTGAACCAACATTATAGAAATTGTATGGTTGATAGTAAGGAGAATTACATATTTGATCTTGGAGCTAATGAGTTCAGATATAGATTACAGTGACAGGATGATGGCAATTTAATGATAATGATCACGTACATTGTTGACTTATAATCAACCTCAGAAAAGCATAAACATTAGAAGGCAAACAGACATACCCTTAAGCATTAACCCTTGAACCCCCAGAAGTGATTGACATATAACTTCTCCCTATAATATCCATATATTACTCAGCAAATTGGTTATGAGAATACTCGAACTTATCAGGTAAATGTTGTTATCTTGATCTAACACCAAATTCTCAGAACTAGTTTAAAACTGAAAGGGAGAAATAACAATCAGATTGTATGTGTTAAAGGGTGAATGGTAATAGGTTTGTGGTGCTATGGTTTCCACATAATGTTCTAATCTTCCTTGTGATTGGTCATAATGCAATAAACATTCCAGAATTAATGTTAACTACATGATGATGGCAATGATGTAAAAAATCTCTTGCCTCTTCCAGGTGCTGTGGAAAAACAGAAGTTAGTTTATATCCTGAACAGAGATGCTGCAGCTCGCCTGACTATTTCATCTCCTCTTGAGGCTCACAAATCTCACACACTGGTCTATCATACTGTGGGAGTTGATGTTGGGTTTGAGAATCCAATGTTTGCTTGTTTAGAGATGGATTATGAGGTACAAATTTGTTTCCTGCACTGAAAATTAATGCCAAAAATTGAATGTAATTTTTAGATGGGTGTTGACATTTTGGTTCCTTGATCAAGCTAACTGAAAGGGTAATTAGTACACATTTAGAGAATTTGTTCATATACTTGACATTCTTTTCATGAACATTTGGGAGATTATTCAACAGCATCCAGGAGTTCTTCTTGTTTTGAGGAAAGCTAAAAAGGAAGTTTTGAAGCAAGAAATGACTTGCAGCGTATGAGCATTGCACCATCAGATTTTTCTTGTTTATAGTAATCACCAAACAAGTGTTGGTGTATTGATGGAAATAAAGAAAAATGTTTGTACTTATTCCTTGTTACCCTCTGTAGTGTTGTTATTGTTACTGTTATTGTTTCTTCCTTCCCTATTGTATATCTATCACTATTTTTATTGCCATTGTTACCACTATCATTGTAGTTCATAGCATTTAATGATATTCATTCATCTATTCAGGATGCAGATACTGACCCCACTGGGGAAGCTGTACACACCACTCAACAAACACTGACATTTTATGAACTAGATCTGGGTTTGAACCATGTGGTGCGCAAATATAGTGAACCTCTGGAAGAACATGGCAACCTTCTCATTGCAGTACCTGGTGGAAATGATGGGCCAAGTGGAGTGTTGGTTTGCTCTGAAAATTATATCACATACAAAAATTTTGGGGATCAGCCAGATATTCGCATGCCCATACCACGAAGAAAGGTTTGTGAATATAAATCATGTTGTTTCTGTGACCTACATGTAACAATAAATAGCTTACACTGTGTATCTCTATTAAGGTAGTTGTGAAGATTTGAATTTTACTTTTCATTTAGGGTTTGTTTTTCTGTTTGTTTTCAGTATGATCTGGATGACCCGGAACGTGGAATGATCTTTGTGTGTTGGGCAACTCACAAGACCAAGGTATATGATTTGCATGTTCAGTATGAAAACACTATAATTACTGCTTTCAGCCTTTTTTCAATGCACTTATTCTCTCTAAATATAATTTGTTTTGATGAATGTACATTGTATGTTAACACAGTTGTGATTTTTAGCGATATCTGTATGGTGTTAGTAACAGATTTTTGTGTCCTTTAGTCCATGTTCTTCTTCTTGGTGCAAACAGAACAAGGTGACATTTTCAAGGTTACCATGGAAATCGATGAAGACATGGTAAGTAAATACATTTAAGTATAATATTATGTTGCAGGTAATTGTTCAACTGCAGGTTTATTATACCACCATTAAGATTGACATGCAATAAACTGCATCATGTATGCAGTTTGATTGGTTCCTATGATGTATAAGAAAACAAATTTATAGTTAATGTCACCATTAAAATTTTTTTTTTTGTTTATTCAGACATAAAACAAAGAGATTCAATGTTACCATAGGTCTGTCTAGTGAAAGATTCCATGTTGTGGTGGAACTGTCAAGTAATAGATCACATGTGTATGTTCATTAAGATGTCACAGATATTGTCAAAATGTGGTGAAAACATCAGTGATGCAGTTGGCTGTGCCTTGTGATCCACTTTTATTCTTACCATATTGTGATGTTATCTTTGATCTCTTACTGAGCAGACACATGGCATCGTGGAATCAATTTGTTATTAGTAACATCAATATTTGGCTGATTTCAGGTCACAGAGATCCGTTTGAAGTACTTTGACACAGTACCAGTTACTACTGCCATGTGTGTGCTCAAAACAGGTTTCCTTTTCACTGCCTCAGAGTTTGGAAATCAGTAAGTACAGAATCTTTTCAGTGCAATCTGTATGAATATCAAAGGCATTGTGAGTAAACTTTTTATTTCACATCATTTTTTTGTTTCCTTTGGTTCAAAACCTTTCTGTTGTTCCCTTCCTCTGAATCCTCCAACCAATGTCATTCCGTATGTTTCCCATATTTCAGCTATCTGTATCAGATTGCACATCTTGGTGATGATGATGATGAGCCTGAGTTCTCCAGTGCAATGGAGCTTGAGGAGGGGACCACTTTCTTCTTTTCTCCAAGAGGTCTTAAGAATTTGGTTCTTGTGGATGAACTTGAGAGTTTAGCTCCAGTAATGTCCTGCCAGGTATGGAGTTTTTGATTTGATGAAGATAAACCACTAACCTTTGTTTATAAAATCAGTGAAAGTACTCCATAGCAATCAAAATAATGGTCAACAATTGCTAAATTGTGTAGGACAACACCAAAAAGATAGGAATAGAAATAAAAGAATCACTTTTATTTCTATTCCTATTATTTTACTGTATATGTTCCAAGGTATCACAACCAGTTACAATTATAGTAGTTGACACATATTACCATCATGATGACAAGAGAAAACTGTTCACCATGCAATTCAACATAATGTATTCCAACCCTCCTTTGCAATGTTGCTTGCCAAGCAATATCATGTATAAATCTGCAATTAACAACATTGAATGGGGAAAGGGGGTGGGTATTGTTGCTGCTTTTTTTAATTTCCCTTTTGTCTTCCAATGAACCTGGAAACACATTTTTTGTTCAGGATGTCTCAACCTTTCTCACTTTTTTTGGTTGTTACATTGAGTTTGTTTTCTTCTCTCAGATTGCTGACTTGGCCAATGAAGACACTCCTCAGCTGTATGCAGCCTGTGGCAGGGGACCTCGCTCATCAATGAGAGTCTTGAGGCATGGTTTGGAGGTAATAAAAACGACAATCATTTCAAATAATATTGTTCCAGAAGAATTTATGTGTGGAGATGTGGCTTGAATGAAGACTTGTACTAAGGAAAATCTGTTATTTTAAATCCTCTAGGTTTCCGAAATGGCTGTATCAGAGCTGCCAGGTAATCCCAATGCTGTTTGGACAGTCAAGACACATACTCAAGGTAGATTTGCTGATTCAATAAGTTTGGTATTGCGTGGTTTATTGGTGAAAAATTGCTTCATACATTATTGTTTTCATCAACAGCATGCAGTAGCTTAGATGGCATGTTGGAGTTAACTTGTAACTTACAGTACATCCCAGACATGAGTCCAATGTGGCTTTACTACAGAGCCTCATAGAGAACGCTGAATGTTTTTGTAGCTTTGAAATAGACTTTTAAACAACAGTTATAGACAAACATTGGAAGCTCCTCATTTCATCAAACAAGTGAAAAAAATTATTGGTCCATGCAAACTATTTTCTGGGAGAGGGCCTCCAGTTTAATGTAGTGTTTTAATTTTTTTTTTTTAACCTAGTGTAACAGATTTTTTTGTAGCCTGCATATGGGTTATGCTGGAAAAAAAGGACTGATTTTCGTCTTTTGTGGTGTGGTGATTCTGATAACTTGTATCCTTGCCCCTATTATATTGCAGATGAATTTGATTCATACATTGTGGTGTCTTTCATAAACGCTACCTTGGTGTTGTCTATTGGAGAGACAGTCGAGGAAGTCACTGATAGTGGTTTTCTTGGTACCACACCCACTCTATCCTGCTCACAGCTTGGTGAAGATGCTCTCTTACAGGTGTGTAAACTTATCAGTTTATTTTTTAATTGTTTTGTTTTATAACCCATGTTATATTTATGACGATTTCTGGTCTTTTGATTCAAAGAATTAACACTATTACTGTTGCTCAGCTAATGAAATAAATGTTCTTTCAGGCAAACGCCTTTGCTGGGGCGAAATTTTATGGCCATTTTTTCGTAGAGCAGGTTACTGTAGGCGGGATATGAACTGTCTAAGTCTCTCACGGTTTGCTTTAAGTACTAAATTGAGCTTGGTAATCTCTCTTTTTATTGTGAAACACTGACAATATTTATTTGTTGCATTTGTTAGGTTTATTCTGAAGGCATCCGCCACATAAGAGCTGACAAGCGTGTAAACGAATGGAAAACCCCAGGAAAGAAGACAATTGTGAAATGTGCTGTGAACGAGAGACAAGTGAGTAGGCTTAGAAGAATCTGCTCAGTAAACAACTGTTGGGGACAGTAGTTGCAAAATTTGCCATGCACTGGCTTCTTGTCTTTCATTTTTCCTGTAATCTAATTGGTTATTCTAAACAGTTCTTGAAATCCGATTGCTTTTTTTGTCTTTTCGTGTTGTTTTCTCATTGCCTGGGAAAAAGATGCAATTTAGAACAAAAATTGAGCGATTCGTGATTAATGCGCACCTCAGAGAGCTAATCAGATTGCAAGGACCACTAGTGATTTAAAAATAGATGTAAGAAAAGCAGAAATTTCAGAAGTTTCTTTTCCATTAATCTTATGCTTGATTTGCCCTGTAGGTTGTCATTGCTTTGACAGGAGGAGAAATTGTTTATTTTGAAATGGATCCGGTAAGCCATTTTTTTTTGCTTTCATTTTCTTATAACTTCAGTTACTTTCTATCTATGCAGTCAGTTCGGAATGCGCGGCGGAAAGTTCGGAGGCAGTGTAGCTGAGTGGTTAGGGCGCTGGACTTGTAATCTGGTGGTCCTGGGTTCAAGTCTTCTACCCTGCCTCTTACTGGATTTATTCTCGGTTGTCCCGAGTTCAACTCCTCGGCTGTGCGTTGTACTTTGCCAACTGGTCTGTTTCTGGCCAGTTGGGATATTTAAATAATATGTTTATATACCGCGTTTGTTTCAAGTTGATTGCATTGCCCCTTAAAAGCCCGATTGGACGAGTGCTCAGTTCATGTTATTAATATTATTATTATTTGTACTATTATTATTATTATTATTTGATGTTTGCTGTTTCTCGTTTTCAGTCCGGCCAACTAAACGAGTACACTGAACGAAAAGAAATGTCCTCTGATGTACAGTGCATGGCTCTCGGGACGGTTCCCTCGGGAGAGCAGCGCTCTAGGTTTCTAGCCATTGGTCTCAGTGACAACACTGTGCGGGTGATATCCCTTGACCCGCAGGACTGTCTACAGCCACTTAGTATGCAGGCGTTGCCTGCCATGCCTGAGTCACTGTGTATTGTGGAGATGGGTCTAGAGAGTGAATCTGGAAGACTGGGTGGACTCTTTCTCAACATCGGACTCTCGGTATGTTTGTCATATTTTGGTTTTGTTTTTTTTTTCTTTCTTAGAGACCCTTCATTATTTATCGCCTGAGGGGTCAGAGGATAAGTAAGTAAGTAAGTAAAGCCTTTATTTAAAGAGGGTGGCACTTAATAGCCAAAGGCTAATAAACTTGTGGCCCTCACAACTATTTACAATCTAAAATACTGTAAGCTAAAATATATATAAATACAGTTAAAATATAAAATATGACAGGATTCGATTATAAGATAAAAATAAATTATTAAATTATGAAATTTTGATTTTGGATTTTGGTCGTGTCACAATTAAAGTTATCTTCTAAAGTCTCATTAGTATTCTAATGTGCTGGAGTGACATTCCTGTTTTCTGGTTTTCGTAGAATGGCGTTCTTCTTCGAACAGTGTTAGATTTAGTCACCGGAGATCTCTCTGATACCAGAACAAGGTAGGAAAAGATTTGGATCTAAAGGGTGCACAGTGGAGCCTCTATTCAGGGAACACGTCAGGGACTAGAAAAAGTGTTCTCTGCATCGAGGTTACCCTACAATTAAGGAAACCTACACAGAGGTTTTAGGACGGCATTTTTTCCAGTCAGCAGTCCTCTGAAAAAGACATTTGTGTGTCGTTTTAGAACCTAATCACAGTAAAACAATGAGAGGGCTTGTCGTTTATGTAAAGTTTAAGCTAGACGTTTTATCTAATCGTCGATTTTTGTGAACAGCGCCTTGATGGCTCAGAGCTTCGTATCTTCGAAAAAAAAAAACAATGCATATGCTCCAAACAAGCCCCTTACAAAGAATTCTCGAGGTTCATTGCTGATCCAAAAGCTCTGCTTAAGTTCAAATTCGTTTTAATACTCGACCCTTAGTAAGCAGTATGAAAGGGTCAAATGCTTGTAGTGTTGTATTTTTGCAACGAAGCTTAAGGATTTATACATGCGTACATAAGTCTAATGCTTTTTGAGGTGAAGCACAGTTGAACCGACAGAATTGTTTCAAATTGTTATTTTTTATTTTTTTATTCAGATATCTTGGTTCAAAAGCTGTGAAGTTGTTTAAAGTTCGAATGCACGGGTCAGATGCGGTGAGTTCCTCTATCACTAAAATGTGCAACCTTTTTGCTCGAAGATAGCATTTTTATGTTAATTTGATTTTATTAAGTGATTTGATGATGTGATTTTGCCAGCGTAAAGAATCACTGAAGGTGACGTTTCGAGCGTTGCTCCTTCGCGTATCGCAAAGTGTCGGCAGTGTTTGGAACATTTGAGTAACTTTATGCAACGAATTCCTGTGAAGACATCGATCGGTATTTCAGTTTTATTCTGTAATTTTGCTGGGGTTGATTTTTCTGTTTTGTATTTGCAGGTTCTAGCAATGTCAAGTCGATCATGGTTGAGTTATTCGTACCAGTCCAGATTCCATCTTACTCCACTGTCATACGAAACGTTGGAATACGCATCCAGCTTCTCCTCCGAACAGTGTCCTGAGGGAATTGTAGCCATCTCTGCTAACACGCTGAGGTGGGCTGGGGATAAAATCGTTTGTCGTAAAACTCGAGGATAATTTCTAATCATAAACCGCGTAAAACCCTAACATCAGTATGCATATTCTCCATACTGTTCACCATACAATTTCAAAGGTACTGACAAGGGGAATTTGTTAAACAATCAAGAGCTTCTACAGTCAGTGATCATTTCCTTTGTTCTCTTGATCTTGATGTTTGATTCAGGGGTGATATTGTAAGGAGAAATTAGATGCTAGTCACTAATTTTCTCAATCCTGTTAACCGTGATTGTTTCCGTTTACTTCATTTCTTGAATCTCGCAAACTATTAGTCAACGAGTTTTCTCTAAAAAAAATTTCGACGACCCCGAAAATTACTGAAAACATTCGAAGCTAGCCCTTTCGAGGAAGTATTTTACCTCATGGTATGACGTAGTCTTACTATAAGGGTTACTTATGGACGTAAAATCTGCTCACTCACTCGACTCTAATTTGTAAGATAATTAATTTTGCACTGAAAATTGGATTAAACTCGATATTTGTGTTGGGTATAATTTTGACATCAATAAATTTTTACTTTATCATCTAACTGTTCATTTATTTATGGTGATTTTTCTTTACAGGATTTTAGCCCTCGAGAAGCTGGGCGCAGTGTTTAATCAAGTGGCAACTCCCTTGCGGTACACCCCAAGGAAATTTGTCATCCACCCCCAGAGTAACAATTTAGTTATCATAGAAAGCGATCATAATGCTTTCACTGATACAGCTAAGGAAGAAAAGAAGCAGCAAATTGCCGAGGTGAGTAGAGGATACAACGTACAATTTTATTACATAGAGAATTCCTTAGGATATGTTTGACAAACACACTCAGCACTCGAATGTTTACGAAGTTGTGGAGCTCGATTATTGCAAAAATTGAGATTTGTCAGCGTGTCGCCGATCAGTTACCTGCTCAAGCCTTCGTTTTTAGTGAATACGACTTTTTGTGAATTATTGGTCCGCTCATCTCTGACAAACCACTATAGTTGGCGCAACCTCGGCCACTATGAAGAAGGAGGTAAATTTCTAAAGAAACTGTGGCGTGCGTCGGTGTTAGATTATAACAGGGTAATTTGATTTTATCAATTGAGTCGATGACGTAAATGGCCACCGTTAAGAGTTTCAAAGCTTATGTTTCGAGCGTTAGAGCAGAGGGCTAAGACTCCGACAATTTACGTTGTCAACTCAGTTGATAAATTACCTCAATTTGAAGAAGCTTTGGTTAAGAAACGCCACCAGTTAATATTCTACATTTTAATGTTGACAACTCTGTCCGGGTAATGTTTCAGGAAATGGTCGAGGCTGCTGGTGATGATGAGAAGGAGCTTGCAGCACAAATGGCGGCTGAGTTTCTGAATGAGGATCTCTCTGAGCTGCAGTTTGGTGCTCCGAAAGCAGGACCTGGAATGTGGGCATCTTGTTTGAGAATGCTGGACCCTATAAAGGTTAATCTCATCGTTGTTTTTACTTAAGAGTGTCGTAATTCGAAAACCAAAGTTTAATGTAATTTTTTAAAGCGGTCACAATGAGCCAATGATAACTCAAAGGAAAGACAAGTAATTTCCCTGAAGCTTGGGAAAACGCGAGTGACTCAACTGATAAAGTCGCGTTGGTCTTCGTTTTTCGTCTGTGAACCGACCATCGCCAAGCAAAACCAATGCAATCTTTTTTTTACTTTAGGCCCTCAATTGAGAATTGCCCTTGGTGAAAAACAATGTTTGATTACACCCAGATACTGACAGAAGAGTAAAAATAAGACGCTAAGCGGGTATCTTCGGGAGGAGTTTCAAGGCGTTTGAGAAATTTGATCATGCAATGTGTTGTCAACAGAAACTTTCGTATTATTTGCAAGGCAATCCATGCGAATATTCTTTTTTTCTCTCTTCTAATACTTAGATTCCAATACATGACGATACCTTGAACAAAGAGACTTAACCGCGTATCAGCACTTGAGTTAATGACTTAACGGAAGTTTTCTATTTTTTTCAGGGCGAAACAGTCGACGAAGTCCGCTTGGATCAGAATGAATCTGCAGTCAGGTTAGTTTGCGCCCAGACTGTTTCATAAAAAAAAACTTGGAGTTGAAAGAAAACGGGCATCATTAAACAGTTGATTGCGATGCAGATTTGTTTCCCCCTTGATTCCTTAAGTTAGATCAGGGTAAAACTTTTCAAACGTACTGAAGCGTATGGCCTTATTCAAAGTCCCTAAGCGTTGCTCATACTCTGGTGATGTGTTCCTATTCTTTAAACCTTGGTGATTGGTTATTTGGTTTTGACTCCAACTTATGTAATACAATGATGAGACGTTGGGTTTTGTTCCGCAGTGTGTGTGTTTGTAACTTCACGTGTCGCCCAGACGAAACATACGCATTAGTTGGCACAGCTAAGGATCTCTCACTTAACCCACGATCATGCGCAGGGGGCTTCATTCACACGTACAAAATAGCTGAGTTGATTGATGGGGGATATAAACTGGAGTTTGTCCACAAGGTGAGGACTAGTTACTGCTCAATACTCCCTATAGCTTGTTCCAGGCGTTCAGTTAGTAAAGCGCAGCGCGATAGTAGTAACAGAGCAAAAACCGAGGGGTTTGGGTCGGAACCCGACCCAAACCTCCCCCGTCTTTTCACTCCTCCGCTACTGCCACGCTCCGCTAGATATCGCGCTTCTACTCTCTGAACGCGTGGAACAAGCTCCACTCTTTACGAGTGGATCGTCCCGGTAAGCGTCTCCACCCCCATTAGTTTTGTGATACGTTGGGTATTCCTCTCACATCCAAGATTTAGAGAAATGTCAAATCTTTTCTTTGCCTGGTCTACGTTTCTTATAATTTTCCTCAGAGAATTTATGTGTTAAGTCAATTAGTATCCCTTGGTCTACATTTTTCCTTTTTTATCGTTACTTTGTCAGCATAGTGGTCCCAAAATATCAAGCGAACTTATTATTTTTTTTTTTCACAAGAGCAAATAATTGCATGTATATGTTCTCAGTAGTACGCACTGAAAATTTAAAGCCAGGTCGATTTATATTTTGATGTCATGTTATTATATCAAAAGCAAGCAGAGTTTATTTTATTTTGTTTTATTGCTACATTCAATTTGGTTTGTTCGTTATATTTCAGACGGAAGTTGATGATATTCCAGGAGCGCTGACTCCTTTTCAGGTACGTTTTTTAAAGTTCTAATTAAAAATTTTCTCTTTTTCTCCCTCTTTGTAATATTTTTGTATCCATGCGCGGCGCGCGTGATTTCACGAATTAGCCAGTCACGTCGAAGAACTCTTTCGCTGACGTAGACATTTTTCGCGTACTTTTGTTGTTTGTTTCATGGAGTTTTTAGTAGTATTTGAGTTTCGTTCGCGCAAATTTGTTTCCCTTGGTTTGGAATTTTAAGAAGTTTTTAGAGTTTTTATTTTAGCCAACTGAAGGGGAAGAAGGAGGGTAAGGTAATTATTTTTTGTGTGGGGGGCATAAATATTTCATGGGGTATGTACTTTTGTTACTCGGAAATCATTCGGCTTAAGCCGGCTCCACGCCTTCTTAAATCATACTCCACGGTAAACACTAAAAACCGCCCACTGTCCCAGACTTGCTATTCTTTAGAAAAAGTCAAATGTAATTTTCTTGAAGATAAGCATTTCGGTGTACTAGTTTTCTGTATTTACGTAAGTTTAACGTCTTAGCCAGGCATTCGGGCCGTTCGCGTAGACCAAACGTTAGTCGTTTTTGAGCGATATCTCCTTCCAAACCCAATTGAACGTGTGATCCAAACGCAGAGTTTTATGGACAGCACAAAATTAGCGATCCTTATCCGAAGAGACTACTAGTGCATTTACCCTTACGACGAAGATTAACCGCAATCTTTTCCTTTTTTAACTGACATAATAAGTGTCAGATAGTGGCTTTCTTAAACTGCCGTTTACGTTAGACTTCATTTGGATAACAGGTCTTTTATGCTTGTCTTATGTGACTTTAGGGACGCCTTTTAGCTGGGGTAGGACGACTGTTACGAATCTATGATCTCGGAAAAAAGAAGCTCCTTCGCAAATGTGAAAACAAGGTATGGCCGCCTTGGACGTGATCAGCACAACAGCGACGGTCTTATGTCGACCAATTTTGTTACCATTGACATCATTTGTTTGTCATTTTACTTACAAAATGAAGAATTTTCTTTCTCATTTTTTTTTTTCCAGAAATTGCCCAACTTCATTATGGGTCTGAACACAATGGGAACCCGAGTAGTCGTGAGTGATATTCAAGAGTCTTTTCACTTTGTTAAGTTCAAGGCTCGGGAAAATCATTTGGTTATATTTGCGGATGATGTAAATCCAAGGTATGTGATCTTTTGTTTTACCCGCTTTTAAAAGTAACTTGCGCAAGGAGGAAACACGAGAACCCACTTAGGGCTTGTACTGAATCTCTCAATCTACAGTCAAGTGTACCAACCATTAGGTTATCACTCGTCAAAGCTGAACAGTTTTAGCAGCAAGGCATCCGGTTATCTTCATTTATAGCTCTTAGGTTAAAAATAGACTGTTTGATGTTGTTATCTCGTATTACCGATTCCTTCAAAAACTGTATAACAATGCGTTTATGTACTCTACACGTTGAGAAAAAAAACCGGATAGGACTTGAACTAGCGATCGAGTGGAGGACATGACATCTGGCTCTCTTCTTGAGAGGATTTGGTGCAATATTTCATCTATCTCTTCAGGGGACGAGCTACTCTAGTCCTTTGATAATGGACATTCTGACGAAACCAAGACATATTTCTTAATGTAAAGAGGGCGTTTTCCACTCAATAAATGCTGTGGGGAGTATCTTTGTTATTCAAAAAACCTACCTAATTTATTTACGAATTCAGTTTTGCGAAAGAAAATATCTTTCCCATCTTAGATTACAAATGAATACTATTTCGCAAGTTTGCTTGCCATTTTTTACAATGCCCTGTAGTAGGGATTATTTTGATAAAGAAGGAAGTCCAAGATAGTCAGTCGTTGCCGTGTGAGGAAGAGTGTTAAGTGAAACTATCTTCTGTTTCGCACTTGAGACACGGCAGTTGTACGTTAAGTTTGCGAAAATTGTTTCTTTTTATGGGTTGAAAGACAGAAGGTGGAAACGATATCTGTCAGTAATATTGAAGTAGAGATGAGTTGATAATGGAGAGCGGCACGTACAGACCCATAAGAACACAAGCACGTTTTTTACGTTAGACTCAAGGAAACATAACACTTTTATTTCACGTTCTCGGTTTTATTGCGTAATTTTGCTGTAATTGAAATTTCGTCAGCTTCTGTTTTGTCCTAAATTTGGCATTTCATGATTATCAGCGATCAATGCATCAGATTCAGTGAGCCTCCTTGATTTTTTTCTTCTTTTTCAATAGAAAGTTTTCATTATTAATTTTAACGTCCACGTCTAAACAGCTCTGTTCTGTGCTCGAAAGAGTACCTTAAACTGAAGTTGTTATTACAGCGTTACTTCCGTCGGAACCATTTCCTCTTTCTAACAAGTCTTGAAGGGCTTTTCGAAAGTCAGTTTTGAAGAAGGTGTACAACAGAGGATTGATTAGGGCTGTGCTAAATTTTAAAGACAAGAGGATGATCCCGGCGGCGAATGGTATCGGATATTCAGGTTTTATGTCGTCCAGCAGAGAGATGATAAAATAGGGGAACCATCCTATCACGAATGTAATGGTCATGACAGCGTATATTATCAGTGCCTTTCTATCGTTTCTTCTCCTTTTTTCCCTGTCTTGCTTCTCAAATAAAGTCCCTTGTGTTAAGGCACGCCTAAATTTCTTTTCCTTGTGAATGTAATAAAAAATATGGCCATCTATACAGGCGATGATGATAAAAGGCAGAAGCGCTAACGATAGTAAACTGAATACCGAGTAACCAAAGTCGAATTTTTGGGTGAGTTGTTCGTTGTCACTTAGGATCCATGTGAGCTGAACGAAGGAAGCGCTCAGAGAGAAAATCCACACAGCCATCAATAGAGCCACTACTCGCCGCTTTGTTACCAGGATATTGTACTTAAAGGGTCTTTTGATCTTAAAGTAGCGCTCCGATGTTGCTACCAGCAGGTGAAGAATTGTCGAGAACGACTGAAATCGATGGCATAAATCCATGCAGGTGCAGATGGGATTGGAAAAAACGATCGAGCATAGGAGCACCAACGGGAGCGAAACAAGCCCAGCTAAGAAATCGCTGGCTGCCAGACTTACCAAACAGTAGTTCGTCTTTGTTCGTAAATGTTTTGTGGTCGCAAACAATAAAAACACCAGCGAGTTCGCGCATATTATAAGGACACCTTGTAAAGACAGGAATACGATCACTGCTTGACCGGATTGAGTCTGATGTAGCTTCCAACGGTTCATCTCTTGTGTCAAATTTGTGTTTTCCCTCCATGTTGAGTTTTCCATCTTTCTCCGATTTGTTCGCCTTTAAGTTGAAACACCTGTGGGCAACCGGATACTCGCGGCGTCTTCTGAAGTCTCTTGCAGTCGGCTAAAGGCTAGTCGTTTATTCTACGAACGCAAAAACACGGGTAACGTTAGATCACGGGTAATGGGATCACTCAGTCTGTGGTGTGGCGTGCGAAATTCTAAGCCGACCAAACAGTTTGAATGCAGTTTAACTCTCTCGCCGCGCAATTTCCAAAAGTGAGTGAAGTTTGTCATTATGGTTGTTTATCACGGCCATTAGTGTGCCAATATTTCGTGAAAGAAATTCAAATTGATGTTTACCTTTTGAAGTATAATTGGTAATTGTTTTTAGGTGATGATGGAAATCCCTCATGCCCATAAATCATTGTTTCCCACGCTAAGATAGAAAGATGATCTTTGAAGTGGCATCATGATAGTGTGTTATCTTTCGAACACAAGTTCCGTTGAAGATTTTCTCTTTCTCACATTACCTCTGTGTTCGTTGTTCTACTTGTTTTGTATTTTTTATTTTAGAGCGATTTGTCATCGTCAAGAACCGGAAAGGTTTCATTGGCCCTGGTGATTTCATTTCCTGTTACATTGTCAATTTGGGAGTGTTATCGTTTTGAAATTTTGACATTTTACATTTTAAGAAAAACTTACGTGTACGACTGGCATTCTGCAAAATATTACATGATGGAGTCATTTTTTATTCTTTTTGTATTCCATGTACAGATGTTTTGGCGAATTCGTGAGTATCAAACTGTGAAACATTGTACTCTCCCAGCCGTTTCTTCCTTTATCTTCCCTTTCTTAAAAAGATTCATCGGGCAAGATTTAAGAAAACTTTTCGCAGATGCAACAACTAGATATTTCAATTTTTTTCCTTTGAAAGTTCCTCCCTTGGAGGAGACGAGAAATTTCAATTTGCGTTAAGTAAACATTGCCACAAGTACTCTAGGTATATTTGAGAACGAACTTCGGCTGGTTTAATTTTCTTAGTGTGGCATCTACCAGCCAAAGTTTAATTCAGAAAGGCCAACGGATCTCGGCATACCTAAAAGTTTTGTATCTGAAGTGTTTAAATCAAGTGCAAGTAATGTTACTTCGGTGATTAAAAATTTGTTGTGGCATTTGTTGATTCACACAATTATTTTAGCGTCTTGGTACAAACAAGACGCAATTTTTCGTCTGTCTTCTCCAAAGTAGTGATTAGGCTGATATTCCCCGAAACAGTTAATTTTTGTGGTTAGATGATGTACGTCTTTCCTAATTATCCGTAGTATCTTAAAAACGGAAAATGTTGCGACTGCTTTCTCCTCGCATTATGATACCAAAATCAAAAAAAAAAAAAAAAAAAAATTCGGGTAAATATGCTTTCGTTTGGTTTGGCGAAACATGTTGCTTAAGAGCTTGTACGTTTTGCTCTCGACATGTTTTTTGGCTCAAGCGGACCACCTGTCACAAATCGCTTTCTCTCAAGTATCTTCCTGTTTTTAGAAAGGGAGAATCTTTCTTTCTTGCCGCTATTTAAACCAATCGTATTAAAAATACAAATTACAACACAGCCTTCCCGTGGGCGAAACGCATTTTGATAGTTAAAGGCGCTAATGGCACAGCATTTCGGACCGAGTCAAAAGCTTGTCGGAGGTTGACGGGCGTGCCAACTTGAGCGAAAACGACCTCGCTGAGATGATTGCCATCAATTTTGATAATCGTTACTTTTACCTTGAAAATTTTCCCATCTTTGTGTATGAAATCACAATTTTTTTCCTGAAGTATTTGAGGTGAAAATTTTCTTGGGGGTTAAAGCTGTCAATAGTTGAAATTTCCTTCAGTCCAATATGCTTCTTCTTGTGCAATATTTATCTGCCTGAAGCAGGTGACGAGAAGGTAATAACTTAACCGTAACACAAAAATTTCGAGAGGCCCTTAAAAATAATAAACATAGTGGGAATTTCTTGCAAAAGAAAAAAGAACAATGAAAACTAAATTTCTCTATTCCCGGTTTTCGTCGAGAAGAGTGTCACTTTGTGCAAACACTCGAGCTTTGAACATGATTAAGTTTTATTTTTAGCTTTCACTTGTCAACAAACTTTTTTTGTTTTACTCTTGGAATTAATTTTCAAAATTTCGCTTTACGTCATTTAGTTTCGTTTGCAAATTTTGACGCGGCGCAGATGTTCCCTGGTAAGAATGTGCTGCGGTTTATTTTTTGGGTAAAAACACGAAAAACAAAACTCCTCTCTCGGAGTTCCATCTTTCCGATTCTTTGTATCAATTTTTTTCATCTCTTTGTCAGCATATTTTTATTTTCGTTTGATAGCGTTTAAAAACACTGAGGCCCAGCTCAATTGGCCGGGACAGAATGTGTAATTATAGCCTCACAGAATGACGCCATAGTAACTCCTTCGATAAAGAGCGACATCTCTCTTTCGAAAAAGTCTGCCACGAAATGGGAAATTTGGTCGTGAAGTGATGAACTTTTCGAATAAGCTCTTGTCCTCTTACCTTCTTTTGGATCAACCACTCTCGCTCTTCACATCAAGCACAGACGGCAGTCAAATATTGGCGTTAATTTGTTTTTAGAGTATTTTGTTTATATTCACTTGTTTTTGGCGCCTGTTTAGCACCCTATTCTGTTACTTTGTAAGGAGCTTTTGAGCGGACCTCTGTGGAGACGGATATTGCTTGCAACGCTGAGTGAAATTTATCCCACTGTGAATTGCAATTATGCACTGCTGGCGAGCAGGTCCAGTGGGCAGTCACGCTGCTTGTGGCAATGTGTGTGGTTCGCTGATTAATTAGCACGGCGCCTTGACATCAAAATCTCATCACTCGTTGTTTTAATTTCGATCGTTTAGTGACACGATAGGTGATTGTACGCGGAATCACACACAGATTTGGCCCAAAGTTCACATTTAGGCAGGCAAGGCAAATCCTCCCCGGGATTATAAAAATTTATGTAATTGTATTTCTCTGCAACAGCGAGCGTAACATTTCTTTCCTTAAGGTGTGCTGGAAGTAACCTAGATTTGTTATTCTTGAACCTTTGCCATTGTCACAGTTTTATTTGGGTGCTTTTTTTTTTCCCAAGAACAATATTTACTCAAAAATATTTTTCTCAAACCTTTTTATATTTAATATTCAGTTGGGAGACTTCAGTAACGGAAATTGGAAATTTTGCTCATCGACATGAAATTTTTCCTCAGGTATCACGGACTAAAACTTCGTCGCATGTTTATTCGAGGCTAGCCATATCTTTAGAACGACGAAGTGAAAGGAAAGTCGATATATAAGTGCGTCCACTTAGAATTTAGCCTCTCAGTAAAAGATCACCGAAAGGGCTCTCAAATATACGAAATTTGATAAAACCTTGTAAGCATATTTCAGATGTAAATTTATCTATTGACATTCTTCAACACAGCTTTTGTTTTCACATATTTCCTGAATACGTCAGGAGCTCAGTTATAATTAATTGCACCTTATAAATCGCGATTCGTATTCTTTCGACCGGCTTCAAGCTGGTGGAAGTGTTGAAAGTTCACGGTTTGAACTTGGCAGCTAACCGTAAACCGTTGTTGCGAGCTCATTAGCAGTGACCAAAGTTAGTGAGATTCCATTGCTCTTTTACATGGCATATGGCTTGATTGGAAAATGTCGTAGTTGATTGTTCCAGTTCTACCTTCCGATTGGTTTCATTGTCTAAGCGGCCCCAGTTAAAGAAAATGCACGGGAAAGGCTGGTTTACACAGGCGACAAAGTCGAGGTTAATTTGAAAATCGGTGTCTGAGGTGCAGTCATAAGCTCGATGAAACCGGAGTCAGAAGAAATAGAATCAGAACGGTTTCATTTGATTTTCGATTGCTCTCATGACTCGGATGTGTATGATCAAATGAAAATTAAATTGTCGAAGTCGCACGCAGAAGCAGAGGAGCCGGCCAATCACAATACGAGTTCTCAGGACATCCGTGGCTTATTTAGTTTTCACAAATCATTAGCAACAGTTACAAGCGGCGTGGGTTCTCTTCTTTCGTTTCCATACGTTTGATTTTCACTTGAACATGTCCCTCTTCGCATCTGAAAACGACCCCTTAACATGAGTTTAACTGAAAGCCGGTTACGGAAAGTCTACTGTCGCTTGTTAGATCTTTCACTGCCGTCTGTGTAGCTTGCGTGCAGGCTCTCGTATTTTGGTCTCGCCTTATGGCCCTTTTTCAGACACGGCCGACTATTGCTCCATCGGCAGCCGCTCATGGAAAAAGTTATTAAAACCTCTGCATTATTGAGAAGCAGCCTCAATAGTTTTAACAATGCTTACATTGAATCGTTCTCTTTTCAGGTGGCTAACCTGCTGTTGTTACTTAGACTACGACACTGTTGCAGGCGCTGACAAATTTGGTAACGTCTTCGTGGTGAGTATGTCGTTTCCTTGTTATTGTCTAAGATGTGTCCTTTGTAGCCTGTTTTTTTTTTCTCGTGGTCTTTAGCAAACTAATTCAGGAACGTAAATTGGCCACCGTTAAAAGTTTTTAAAGCTGACATTTCGAGCGCTCTGTCGACGGATTCACGCGCGAAATGTTAGCTTAAGAAACTCTATGCAGTGGCCAATTCAACGCAGCTGATGAAACTAAATTATCTTGGAATAACCCTTACCCTAGCTCTACCACACTTTCTCTAGAAACTTACCACTATAGCAAAATTCTTGAACATGATTGGTTATCACCAGACCTATTTGAGCACTTATAGGACAGATCACACGTCATACCTGTGCAAGTGGACAGAATGGGTCATGTACGCGCCTTATTGTGTCGCATTTCACTGAGTTAACTTAGATAATGTAGGTTAATGTAGGTACGGCTATTGTGATCTCTACCAAATTCTGTTTGTAATCACAATTTTCATTTTTATTAAATTCAGGTTCGCCTCCCGTCCAGCATAAGTGATGAGGTTGATGAAGACCCTACAGGTACTAAAGCATTCTGGGATCGTGGGCTCTTAAACGGTGCTCCCCAAAAGGTACGTTGTGAGCGTGGTGGCCGTGAAGACTGTGGCACACATGCTAATGCTTAGGCGACGCTAAACTGCGTTTTGGTTTCTATGGTTACGCCTATCGTTGACATTAATCCATATAACTTGTACAATGAGAACGGAAATTTTGAAATGCTTTGCAGAGTGGATTAAGTAGAAAACACCGTGTTTATATTTGTTGTACATTTCAAATCGGAGCTCTTTGAAAACGATGCGTAACTGCTTTACATTTTGTTTGGGATGATTTTAAGGAGCTGATTTCGCGCATGCTCATCGGATTTTTCAAGCATTCAGGCTCATGTGCACGAAACTCATTTTAATAGTGATCCAGAGTGGACAGAAATTTTTTTCTTGCGTTATCGAATTTTCTGGTTAAATGCCTGAGATTTAAGATTCTGGCAAAGAACGGGCAACTTGTTTGCACGGCAACCAAATTTTACTGACTATTGTTGTTGCAGAAATTATGTCAGTTTGAAACTGTGGAAGAACAGTGTTAAATGAAAACGTTCTCTACTCGCATAATTTTTAGTGCCCCTACCTTACCTTATGACAACAACTTTGGTTATTCATGCTTGATATTTCCTTGTTTCTTAAATGGCAGTATTTTTTCTTGAACAGGTGGAGACGCTGTGTAACTATCACGTCGGTGAAACAGTCCTGTCGTTGCAAAAGGCCACTTTGATCCCCGGAGGGTCCGAGTCGTTAGTTTTCACCACCCTGTCAGGAGGTATTGGTATGCTGGTGCCGTTCACATCAAGAGAGGTACAACATCCCTCCATTCGCCACCTTTTTGTTACTTATCTTTCCTGTCTTTTTTGCTTGTTTATTTTTGTTCTGTTTTCCTTTTTATTTGTCACTACACAAAAAAATGCTGTTTTACAAGCTATGAGGTAGACAGAGAGTTTCTGCTCGCTGAATCTGTTCGAGGACTATGTCTAGTCGCATCCTTTATAAAAGTATCGCGATAGAAAGCAATAGCGAATGTCATACAACAAAATGTAAATGGATTTTTTGTTTGTTTGGAGACCCGTTGACCTTTCTCTAGAACCTCTTTTGTTGTCACTTCTAGAATTACAAACAATCAGGCAGACGAACAGCTGGGCAGACAAAGGGAAACAAGCAAGCAAATAAGCTTTGATCAAAACAGTACCGTTGTGGCTTTTGCCATATGCACTATACATAGCAATTTAAACAAATATTTAAATAGGTACGTATTTTTCATTTTTTTGTTGTAATTTTTTCCCAGGACATTGACTTTTTCCAGCACCTTGAGATGCACTTGCGCGCTGAGCAGCCGTCCCTGTGTGGCCGCGATCATCTGTCGTACAGATCTTACTACATGCCAGTCAAGGTTGGTGGCTGTTTATAAAAAGCCTACCTTTCAACGGTCTCAAGGTCATATAATCATTCCAAGTTAATTGCGATTATATCAGAATGAGCGCTTCTCAATTAAGTGTCGTAAAACCAAGCCAGAAGTGAACAGTCGATAAATGAAAGAAAACAAACTTAACTTAAACGTAGGAAAATGCGAGTTAAAACTCTCTCTTGATTTAATTTATACATTTTGCTTTCGGGTAGAGGGGAGGGGAGGGTGATGCAAATTCTTTTAACGAAGCAAAAAGTGTAACAAAATAGAAACGGTCATTCTCGGATTACTTTGGGGACTCAGTTGAAAATTGCACCTTCGTTTTATTTAAATTTTTTTCTTACTTGCGTTTCCGGTATCAGTAATGTTGGAAAATTTGCATGTGGCTATGAGGTGGGATTTGTGTATTTTTGGATTTTTACAGATGCACGTGTTTTCTATCATTTTTGTATTACAGAGCGTGATTGATGGAGATCTCTGTGAATTTTTTAATTCTTTGGATTCTTCTAAACGACGCAACATTGCCGAAGAACTCGATCGTACTCCAGCCGAGGTATTTTCAAAGCAATATTTGCCTAAAACTCTGTCCGAAAAAGAGACAGGTGTTATGCTGAATTCTTGGCCTTTAAAGGAAACTTAAAATCTGTCTACTGAACACAGCTATTGTTAATGAAGTGAACATGACGATGAGCAATAAATAAACATGCGGCTTTTTTCTTAGGTGTCCAAGAAGCTTGAAGATTTGAGAACACGTTACGCTTTTTAGGAGTGGAAAGAAAAACCAGCAATCTTACGACGGAGATTGATTTTTGTAGCAGCTACAAGCGGAAATCGGTAGTTTTTGGAGACGTTTGGCGAGACACGATGTTCTTTAAAATTGTCTTCTTTCACTTTTGTATCAAAAACGAGTCATATGCGGTGAACATGTATTTTTTAGTGAGCTCATTCAAGATCCAAGCCGCTTTACGAACTACTCCTTGTATGATTGAATAGTAGCTGTAGAAATATTTTGTTTGTAACCCTGCCTTGATGTAATGTACATTATTCATTTTAGCACTAAATTGATTTTGTTAAATTTTGTCCAGACTGCTTGATCTCAATTGCTCTTTTCCGAAGCATAGATGCCATCAAAGTAACAGGTAGAAACTTTGCATACTAGTTATTATACCTGTGTACACTATGAAAAAAAGAGATTAAGTTTAAACGTCTGTCAGTCGTGTTATTCTTCCATCGGTTCCAATTTTTGTGGTTTTTCCCAGCTTTTCCCCCCATTAATTTCGTCCTTTTCTATGAGATACGCGTGCGCCTTTGTTAACCAAAGATTAAACACTTTTAAATCTTAATTCGACAAGCTTGTCTACATGAATACAAGGATATAATTTTGCTCCCGGTTTGAAGCCATTTTGCTTCACGTTTTTCACAGTGAATAATTCCCTGTTTGCGCGACCTTCATAAGGCGTAAGGCATAAGGCATAAGGCATAAGGCCTTCGTAAGGCGCACTTTTATTTTCATGCGGTCGAAGCTAGACGCTAGTGAAGGAATTTTAATTCTTAATTTAAAGAATGAAACGACTTTAAAGCCAAACTTTGTTTGACTTTATCTTGTCACACCTTGACGTTTCAAAAAAACGAAACCTAACTGCACAAAGTAGAGTACAAATAACACTCGATTAGAGTACAAATATCTTGCGATATTGTATGGTTACTTGAACAGTTGGTTATTTTGTAATGTACGAAACCTGTTTAACCAGTTAAATGCGCGCGCGACGCTTCTGTATCCGCTTTGCTTTTCCCGCCTTATGAGAAATGACAGAAATACAGTAGAAGAAAAGTAGTTGGATCATAAATAACTTATTAGACGTTTTGGTATGTATTATCGTTGAGTGTTTTTACTTGTTTTTATTTTGACTCGCTCTACGGAATCGTCAAAATACGGCACAAATCGTGAAAATACCGGGTGCCAATCCTAACACTGCCACTCTAACGTAAGAAGTAAAAGGAACCGTTTCCCTAGCGACAGTTCTTTTTTGCTTTCGGCCGTCTCTTTCACCGAGAGCCTGGGACAGGCTGATTGAGAAAACGATACTAGTCCCCCCGTGCACGGGTTGACCGGGAGGGATGTAGCCTGAGAGAGTGGTCTTCTCAAGTTAAGTTTAGAAGAATTTGCTAATATCTCGTGTCAACACGTGCTCTAACGCTTTTCACTTCACTGCTTGCTTTGCTCCGTGAATTAATTGTTTTCTTGAGAATACAATTAAACTTGTGGGTTAATGTTTGATGAGGCTAATTGCAGAAGCCAATTGCAGTTGATTTGAGTTCACGTCGATTGCAACACGCGTACGGTGAAAGTGCAAGTAATTATAGCTTCATGGACGAAAAGAAGAGTTTTAACGAGAATGGAGCTGCGACGAGACATGAAAACGGCGACAGAGAGGTGAAGTAGCTCTATAGTTGTGTGACTCTTTATCAGCGACATGGTTGTAAGCGCTCTTTTCTGCTCACTCGTCACTCGTCTTGAATCTCGTCGTGATATTTTCGAAAAATGTGAGATTTTGATAGGGTTCAACCCGCATATGGTACACTAGAACTAATATGCAAAGGTTATAGTATTCAGTCCAAAAGCATAAAGGTTTACTCAGGGCTTTGGCTGCCCGGATCTAAAGCGCGATTTCGTAATGCTTCGATTGTATTTTGGAAATTACTACTTCGATGAGTACACAACGTCGCGAAGTCGCAAAGCGCGCGGAAATGGCACCAAAAAGCTAATTTGTTCTTACAGTTATTCACTTCATTGAGTTAATCTGTCGACAGGCGATACTTTCTCTACGCTTCGTTATTTTAAAGTAAAGATTCCGAGGTAGTCAGTCATTTCTTATTGGTACGTTCTTATATAAACAACGTGTTAGCTTTTGCATTGTAGCTCAAATTACAGCTAAAATTATGAATCTCGAAGGATTAACAATGCCGTACAATGGGTTTATATTACATAGATGCATGCTGTTTGGATTTGAAAATATGTCAGAAAACGAGCAATGTGAACGGCGGATTGCAGCAAAAAATGCACTTTATGAATTTTTCTCGGTAGGATGTTTTAAGCGCTTTGTTTTCCTTTCGTAGAAAGCTTCTTACCTCATTTTCCGTATTTAGGTTCAGTGCGTCTTTTTACTTTTTTGTGCTGTCTCATTTCACGTCAACGTTCACTCAGAAATGAGTTTGTCTCGTTAATGATACTCCAAATCACGAGGACCGTTCACCGTTTGTTTCATTTTTCTCGTGTTTATCAGTGCCTTTTTATATGCTAACTGCACCACGATATAATCTTTATTTACGCAGATGCATTTTCAAAACAATTTTTTCCGCACGATATGTTGTACCATATTCCCGATTGAGACAGACCTTTTTGAATCTGAATTTTTCAGGTAAATATGTTCAAGACAACTCGATACGAATTGTCTGAATAATGAAAACTAAACTTTTTGACTTTAAGTGAGGCTTTGCAACGTTTGAACCATTTTATCGACTGGTAGATATCACTTTTTCTTGTTGTTATGTCTTAGAAGTACTGCTCGATGGCTAATTTTGTCTTAAATGCGCAACCTGAAAATTTTCAGAGTTTTACAAGCATGCTTTACAATTCGTATCTTAAATCTTGATATGTGATGAAAATGTTTTGAGTAAAACTTTTCGTTTCGTCACCCTGGTGATAAGTTATTTAAATGTACTTGTTTCATTAGAATTTGGTTTGTAAGGGAGAAAAATAACCTGTAAGGGTTTAGTGTGCTTTTTCTCGTTTGCGAATTTTGATTTAGAGAAAACAAGTGATTTATACGTTAGCTGCGCGTTCATCGAGATAAGAAGCACTTGGGAAGTGTTAAGACTCTTTGCAAGCTTAAATTGCTCTCGGCTACGTCCCGATAATGTAGACGATGGACATTATTGATTAAAAGCGGCGAAATTAGCTGTAGAGTTAACGATAATTCGCATTTTCAAGCGTGTACTGCGATTTAAATCTTAAACCTTAATTTGTTATAAAGTGAAAGTGATTCATGTTGGTCATGTTGTGGATCATATTTGCTCAGCGTTCATCGAGAAAACAAGCACTTGGGTAGTATTAAGAGCTCTCTTGAAGATAGAATGGCTCTCGGCTACACCTCGAGCAGCCTTTATTTGTCAATTGTCAAGAATATTTAGAAACAATATGAATTTATACCCTTAAAGCGATATTAATAGCTTTGAAGTTAACTATACTTTGATTCCCAAACGCAACACGAATTCAGGCTGGTAAGTGAAAAACGCATCTTCCTGACTTTGTAGTTAGGTGTGGACCTGTTTTAAACCGCTAACGGTTACTTTTGTGTCCTAAATGTATTGTCTGTTGGTGATTTTGTTTTAAAGTCCTATAGCTTCCAGAATTTTCGACTAAACGCAACAAAACATACTGAGGGCGAATTAAGTAAACAATGATGTAAGCTGACGAATCTCTTGAGCCCAACTGCAAAGAAGGTCTCAATGGGCTGATGGCCTTTACAGCTAACGGTTAAATTTTGGCCATCGTACGGCTAACGGTTAATTCATTTCCGTTGTGATTACAGGAGAAAATTTTTTAGGTTAATGTTTTTGCACGAATAAAAGTTAAAATCTGTTAATTTATACAGCTAAAGAGCTCTTTTGAAGTTAGAATGGCTCTCGGCTACACCTCGAGCAACTTTTAACAATGAATTGTCAAGATATTTGGAAAAATATTCATTTGGGCAATTTTTTTGAGTCAATTGTCAAGATATTTAGATACAATACGCATTTAACCCCTAAAAGCGATATTTATAGCTTTGAAGTTAACTACACTTTGATTCCCAAACCAGGGCGTGAAATTGCGCCTAATACAGGCGCCAATGCGACTAAATTTTTCACTTTGGCGACCAAATCCTGAAAGTTAGTCGCCAAATTGGCGACTAGAACGGTTCATCATAACTTTACCAAGAGATATAGTGAATTAAAAAGATTTGCAAAGATAAATCCGCGGCAAACTTCCTCGTTAAGTTTGTTTCCAAAACGTAGCACATCCATCTCGATCGATAACTAGACGCCATCTTGGATTTAGATGAGCCTGAACGTTGTATATCATCCATCCTAGTGTCCACTTTGTAGCACGTTAAAGATCTTTTCCCTAACTTAATTTTGGAGGGTCTATCTAGAACGCTGACAGCGTAAAGAAAGATTTTGTTTGTCTTTGAAAATGGCGACCAACCTTTTTTTGAATTGGCTACCACTTTGAAGAATTTAGGAGCCAAGTGGCTATCAGGAAAAAAAGTTAATTTCACGCCCTGCAAACGCGATACAAATTCAGGCTGGTAAGTGAAAAACGTATCTTCCTGACTTTGTAGTTTTTTTTAAAACCGCAAGTGGTTACTTTTGTGTCCTAAATGTATTGTCTGTTGGTGATTTTGTTTTTAAGTCCTACAGCTTCCAGAATTTTCGACCAAACGCAGTAAGATTTACTGGGGGCGAATATAGTAAACAATGATTTAAGCTGACGAATCTTTAGTGCGCAACTGCAAAGAGTGTCTCTATGGGCTGATGGCCTTTACAGCTAACGGTTAAAATTTTGGCCATTCTACGGCTCTGAAAAGGAACTACGCAAATGATAACCAATCTGAACCGCAAAGGAATAGCACGGAGTGATGGGTGGATAGCAGAATGACTTGCTACCGTGAGACATCAAACACCTGCGGTTTCTTTCAGTACACAATCTATCGTGACTAAACAAAAGTGATAAAAGTGTAGAGGGCGCGATATAAATAATGAGTAAAGGAAAGGTGGCTTTAACTAAAGACCTCCTCCTTCAATAATGAATGATTTTTAAGAGATGTTTGGAAAATATATTGGTTTGAGATTATTGATCATTGTCTTGGGAAGCTTGTAAAGTACGTGCGAAGCTATAGGACGTGCGAAGCTTCATTTGCCCTCGGCTACCCTCAAGCAATTCTCACGCTTCTTACGTGCTCTCCAAATTTCATATCTCGATGAACGAACGCTGACGCAATTGTAAATTAAAAAGGGCGGAAGACGAGGTTGAAAGCACGGCCCATGGAAATTCTAGGTTGCCTCCTTGGCCCAAGTGAAGCTCTTAATTGTTCATCCGATGCTCAGGAAGCAGTGTTATTTCCTGCGCCCGAACTTTCATTTAAGAAAGACTAAAACTCAGTCTTCA